ACACTAATTTTATTTGAAAATAGTAGGCAAGGCCAACAAAACAATTTTTGCATTTTTATGCATCCACAGAGCCATTTTATCGTGAAAATGTCGAACAAATTTTCTTGTTGACGTATTTATATTTAATTTAGGCATTGGTCTTTCTCTTTTAATAATGTTTTCTTTTTCATTATATGGTCTCGAGCCGAAACTTTTTGAAAAATACATAAAAATAGCAAAAGATATTCTTTACTTTTTAAATATTAAAACAATCCACTTAGTTAAAAGTGCTCCCTATCAGTGACTCGTGGATGGAATCAGAGACGATCTTGGTAGGTGTGCGGTGCGTGCATGAGTGCCAAATCCCGAGGGTGCCGATACGGGTTAACGTCTTTTGTCGTATCACTAGTATATCTCAAAGGACCCAACAGGATTGTTGTAAATTTTAAACGTTTCTCATCATAGCTGTAAAAATCTAAATACGTTAAACTTAATAGATTGTCCGTCTTTTGTTTTCTAACTAATTCGTTTTAGGACCAGGTGTTGTCCACGGAAATTTCCAAAATTTACAACTTTTCGGTCACACTCTCGTCGAACTGGAAAAATTTCTGTCTTTATTACATCTAATACAGTATTTCGAAGAAATCGGTCCCCACTGTACTTGGCTATAGCTTGGTTCGGTTAAGCTTTTGTTTAAGTAATATTCCGGCCCTTTCGTCAGGGTTTTGTTTACGTACCCAATTCCCTAATCGCTTAATTATTTAACTACTACTTAAATAGAAATAAGTCGAAACCGGTTACTTTGTACTCGAATATTTGTAGTCTCGGAAAAAAGTGGAAAGACAAATTTTTATGACAAACAGATACATAAATCGTAAATTTAAGGAAAATAAATTCTAGAGCCTTTTCTGTACCTGGCGCATCTCTCTCATTCATTAAATTTAGTTGTAAATGATGCTNCGGAAAAAAGTGGAAAGACAAATTTTTATGACAAACGGATACATAAATCGTAAATTTAAGGAAAATAAATTCTAGAGCCTTTTCTGTACCTGGCGCATCTCTCTCATTCATTAAATTTAGTTGTAAATGATGCTGTCAAAATAACGGTTAATTTTTTTACCATTATACAAGAACTGTACACGTTTTTTTCTGTACACGCCACTAATATTCGAATATACAATAGCAATCTTATTTATTTATTTATTTTTTCACGTATAGTATAGAAATTTGTAATAAGATACGTAATGCGGTTATAATAAAATATTGTGCGATTATTTTCATATAATTAAAATTAATATGTATTTATTTTTTATAAAATACAAGGGAAGCGGCGCTTCCAACGCTTCTAATGACGGCACGCCACTGGAATTTTAAGGAAGAAGGATCATCAAAAGGGTCGTTCTTCTTTGCCCATGGTGAGCACGGCTGGGCCCATGAAAGGGTTCCGCAGTGGCAGGCCCCCTCGTTATAACTTCACGGAGCCCGGGCGAATTTGAATTAGGAGTTCCCATGTACTGTACAGTGTTGACTTCAGATATTTTTCGGGGAGAGTATTTTTTTTTTAATAAAAGATTGATTTGGGGTCCAGGCAATTTCTTTTTTGCCCATAGGATAACTGAGAGGTCCGAGGGGGAATTTAAAAACGAAAAATAACGATATGTGATATCGTTATCGTCTCCATTGCCTTCTGAACTGCCGAGCAGTAACAGTCAACGACACGTGGGAGCGGGTTGAGTCAGAGATAGATGCCTCGTTTACAAACAACACAACCCATTTATTAAACAATTTAATTTACAAAAAGTTCATAGTCACGAACGGTTTAAGTCCTTGCGTACTTCGGCGCATAGTTTTCAAAGACGAAAGTCTAGGGATGAGGGACGCCATGGCAAAGAACGAAGATTTTTGTGGCCTGGGCTTAAATATCTTTTCGTCTCGCAAATCATTACTTTATTGGTTATTAATCCCATTTCTCGGTCCCAGATTGATCTTTCTGTTACCAGGTGAAATTGACCAGATCAGTTCCCCAGAAAGACGATTGTTTATTAATACAATTGGACAGAGTCTCGTTCGGTGGTGAACGAACCGTGTACCTTAACTAACATTCCCCTTTTTGTTGGTCTTGTCTTAAAGAATTTAATTTACTAATTTCTCTCGTTTGTTCGCATGATTTTAATATTAATTTTATTTTTCCCTTTCCCTTAATTTTAATTAATCGCGAAGATCGAGATTCGTTTTTGTTTCGATTTTTGGTTAAAAAAATGTTTTTCATCCCATCCCAGGGCTTCACATAACGCGACCCAACGTGTCTAGGTGGGCACGACTACGAAAATTACGTTATTCTTTTATAGAAGTCAATTAATAATCGAATTGCCAATGGGGTACCAATATTTAACCACAGTTTCTTCATTTCTAACATAACTTTGTGGCTCGTGGCCCCCGCCCCTAGTCCCTAAAGGTGACGATTTACACGACGGAATTAAAACACGGTAATGGAGTCGCATAGTTATTTTAAAACCCTGGTGAAATAACACTCATTTTGCCACACCACCGGTCGCGATTTCGCTTTTCGAGGAATATAAATATCGGGCCCACCAGTGGCCAAACGGTTCCATTCCCTGAACACTGGGAGTTCGCACCTCGCCCAGACCATGTGGGGTTTTCCGAGTTTCCTGCACGTCTGTAACGCCTGAATACGGGCCAGTTACCCTTAAAAGACCTCCCGGAAGGCATCATAAACACATACTACTACTATTACGCCACACTTTACCACGGGGTGATATAGCCTAGAAGCTCGTGCTCAACTACCTACTACAAGACAAGAAAATACAATAGCATTTTCTTTGTTAATAATATGATGTTACAGTCGACAGTCTGTTGACCGTAACATGAATTATTCTTTCATTTTTATTCAAAATCGCATTGTGTACTTGCAATGCGCGCATTCTTCATATGCAACGCCCGAGCGTAGCCTTGGCATAACGATTGGCTGGATCTATCTCACCATCTTAATCCACGGAAAATCTAGGTGTGAAAGTAAAACAAGCCGTAATTCTTCACCTGGAAGAAACACGTGCGTGCGCGCGCCCGTCCTCCAAAAACTCGTATAATCCGTGCCAAAGTTTCTTTAACCAAAGGAGGCTTTCTTGGATTAAGGTTATTGTTAAATATAATTTATTAACGTGTCATTGAAACAATGGCATGTTGGGCTGTCAAAATAATTGTAATTCTTTAAAATTGTTACTTTCTTTTTCAATAAATGGTTATCATTTTCATACGTGCATTTGTGAAAGTTCAGCCAAAACTAAACGATTTTTTCAGTTTACAGCCCAAATAATTTTAGAGCACCATTAGATTAATGGGATTCATCCTAGTAATAAAAGCATCGCCACTAGTCATGGAAAATTCTGTAATTTTCTTTTTATACGTATCGGGATCGACCTACGCACCCTTCCAGCAACGGACGGGGACTGACTAAATTTTACACTACACGAAATTCTAAACTTTACGAATGGAATGCTTTAAGTTTCTATAACATATGAATATTACAGAAGCTTAACACTCCTCCATTACTGGAAGAGTGCATAGGTTGACCCCTCTGTATCAAGCCCCAGCTTTAAGAATTCCTATTTTTATATTTGTAAAATTGACAATCGGGGGCATCTGTATATTAAATTTAAGATTTTACACGTTTCTAATTCAAAATCTGTGTTTTATTTACAACTTTGTATGATGGCAATACATATCTACCATTTATAGTAAATGTTTTTCTCACTTCTCTATGTTTTTAATCCCAACTAGAAACTCAGGTTTTAAACTAGATGCGTAAGACGACGGCAGGGGCCTCTCTTCCACTGTTTCCACCCTGTAAAACCGGATATCTTCTTTGTATACCATTTCCATTTTCAGTTCGTCCTCTACCTTTTTACCTTTCATCTGCATCTGCTGTCTCAGTGACATCTCCATCACGGGAGGCAACAATTTATATTTGGGCCTGACTCTTACGGGAACTTCCTCCACGGGCTGCGAGTAATACTTCTCCTCTTCGTCCCTCGGAATCAGTTGCCAATCGGCTTTGTAACTGCAATGCATGCGTTGCAATCCGGGAACTTTTCTTCCTGAGGATGAAGAAATTTTCATAATTAATTGCGTCTCAAAATTTTCTTTAACTTATTAAAATGAACATTATGTTTAACATTTCATGGAATCTATTAGGTTGCAACTATGGGAGATTTCAATGTTTCAAGGAAATTGCGGTCCTTCTCCTCTTCAATAGTTCTTTTGACACGTTATTAACTGTACGAACTGAATGTTGGACAAGTGACTCGGTTTTCAAATCTTTACAGACTGTGCCTGTTGTGGTTATATAATAAAGCTTTCGGATTTTGAACCCGTCCCCTCTTCTATTGTCATGGTTATTTCAATCTAAAAATCAGAAACTTCCCTTGCCAACTGGTTGACTTTGCTGCAGGCTCAGCAAAACCTGTGACAACTATAGAAAAATGTCCTCCTCAGTATTTGTGGGATGAAAAAAAGGAAAATCCATAAACAGGCAAAGTTTTAAGCTTTGTGTTAAGCTCAATAGACAAAACTATAAATGAAATTTCCACAAACATATATTTAAATTGTGCAAGCACAAATTCACTATGGTCAATACGAATGTGAAATTTTCATTAAAAATGTGTTTGTCTGTTTCACAGAAGCTAACGATAAAGAAAATGATCCCGAAAGAAACTATTTGATATGTAATATATGATTCGAAAACTAATGGACTGTACTTTTCACTAAAAATCCAAATCCAGCAATCTGAGAAGACAAATAAGAATGAATATAATGCAGATATGTACATTTGGAACAGGACACACAACACAGATTAATAATAAATTAATACAGTATTAACGAACAAAACATTAACAAGGTTTAAACTGATTTGTCTAAAATTTTTTAATTCTTAATATTAAATCAACTTTTCATAATTCCTTTGATCCACTGTTTAGCTGTTTAGAGTGTTTATGTAGATCAGTAGGAGCGAATGAAATGGGGTGTGTTACATTATAAACTGTACTCTCCATAAATTACATCACACATCACAATACCCGGTACATTATAAACAATACACATACTCAAAGTCTTAAGCAGCATGCACTCTTAAGGCACATTAAACTGATTTTTACTGTATTGAGATTGAAACTTTAGGAAAAAAGAAACATGACAAGCAGAATTTGAGAATAAAGAAGATAGAACACTGGAAAGAGGGAAAGAAAACAGTATAATTTTAAATAATTCTTTTTAATGGTTTTGTTTTGCAAGGCAAAAATAATGTCTCAAGTAATGAACAGACATAAAACTGTTTTTAATAATACAGTAGAGTCCGTTAACCAAGATTCCGATTATCTGTGAAGAATTGTGGAAGAGTATTTTATCATTGAAGACAAGTAATTGTAGTACAGTTTGTTTCACAAATCTTGGCCAGATGATGCCCAGTATTCAAAAGATAGATATTTCAGAATGAGTTTACTCTGACGATGAATTTTTAAAAAGATAGAATTTTAATTTTATAATAATAAATATTCTTGTATTTTGCCAATCATTTTGTAGTAAACAGGCTATAGTATCTATGTTTTTGACTAGCAAAGAAACCCTCCAGGACTACTCTATATAATTTGGTGCCTAATGCAAGCCTAAGGGTGCGACTATGCAGACGCGAATTTAGAGCGAGCGAGAGGTTGCGANTCATTACCTTTCTGCCTAAACTGGAGTTCATAAAAAGTCAAATCACCAAAATGACTAAGTGCTTTTTATCTTTCTTCAATTTTGGGGACGTGGACTCTGAAGTTGGATGAAGAAAGCCTAAAAGAACTTGATTTGATTTTTTATGAACCCCAGAGTTTAAGTAGAAAAATAATTTAAGATTTTAATCTTGTAATGAACCTTTTAACAATGTACATTAACAGAAAAAATCAATTGAAGGATGCTATTCTTTTATGTGTAACTATGATTATCTTAAGGCAAGCATTTTATAAATATAAAATGTTACTAGTTTCCATTTTCCTTTCTTTTTTGTATTTTAAACTATCCATTCTCATGGTTGCATGTGTACATGGTTAAACAAATGCAAACATATTTGATCTGTAACAGCATCTATAATAATTTCCAGATAATGCAGACAAAACTCACATTGTGTGGGCATTCCTTCTGGGTCTCCACTAACCAAACTATCCATCATCTTTTGCAGCTGTCTTTTTATATGTACTTTAACAACACTCCAAATACATTAAATTAAATTTAAATGGAATTCTTTTGTTGTTATTTCTTCAAAACAAGATGGACAGGGGGGCATTACCAAAATAATGATAAAATTTTGCATGTTTTTTCCACTACATTTTACCAATCTTAAACAATGACACAAAATGAAGATAAAATCTCTTAAAAGCTCCTTGCTTTCTTTCCCAAACTTCAAGCCAGTTGAGGGTATACACCTATAATAGACTTGTTTGTTCTTTACTGTTTGGTATTTTAACAACAGTGTGTTCCAATAGGAACATGTCCCTTGCTATGTCTGCAATATAAACTGAAGTTTGCTTTGTCTACAAACAAAATGTGTTTTGTTGATTGAATATATTTCAAGATATTTTTAATGTACATATTTCTTAGCTGCTTATTCTCATTATAATTCATTCCTTGCGAGAGATTATGCACTTTTTCACAGGATATTAAATGCCCATCAAGACATTTTAAAATTATCTGACAAGAAACAACGATGCTTCTTTGTTTATTCACATAAATTCTTCAATAGAGTAAAAAGTCCTGGTAAATTATAAGTTTTTCTGCAAATGTTAATTACATATTTATCATCCTAGATAACTTTTACCAATGATATGCTTTTATACTGTGCCATCGTCTGGGGGTTTTTAAAATAAGTTTTATATATTGTGGAGAAGAACCTCAAAATAAAAGGTCTATTCTGCCATGTAACTTTGGGTAGATGTTCACCGATGTGGCTACATAAAACACAAAGGATTATATGTGGCTATTTGATTTAACAAATTGCCTATAAAAAAATAATCAAAAATCTGTATTTAATTTATATCTAGATTTAAATATGGGTATATTTAATTGCCTAGATTCCTTATTTGAATTCAATTACCTTATATACAACTCTCTAGATCAGAGCATCTTAAACGGGCTCTGATCTAGAGAGAGACAAAAGATATCCCCAGGGAAAACTAGAAACAAAAGCAACACTTTCATTAAAATTGTTTGGGTGTAATATGACATCATCATTATATAATTTTAAAAAGGATGAAAAATAAAAAAATACTAAGAAGAATGGAACAGGTGTCATGGGATATACTATACACAGATCTGCAAGTTATAACTATTGTTCTCATTGGAACATGGCTCAAAGGAGTATAAGAACCACTGCTCTAGATCAAGGGTGGGCAACCTTTTTTATAACATGGGCCAGAATAAATTTTACGTTTTTTCCGCGGGCCATAGTAGTTAATTGACACCCTCTGACCTTTAAATTTTTAGTTTGCAAATATGAAATAAATTAATAAATAAATTAATTACTACAGTCGACCCTCCTATAACACTGTTGATTATTCTGTTTTATATGAATTCCATGTTGTATGAGTCACTTAGATTTTAGAAATGCGTGTGCCGGGCTGTGAA